ATAAGATATGGCTTATTTACTGTTGATGATGGCATGTATAGATTTCTCAACTGGATTGGTCTGAGAAGTATTTCATGATGGGCAAAGTATTTTTACAAGCAAAATGAGAAATAGCGATTGACTGTTTTAAAAAATAATTATGGGGAAACAGAAAAGATATCGAATGATGAATCGGGGAGATTAATGTCTCTGTATTGACTGACATGCATGGCATTCCCATTTGAAAAAGCAATGTAATACACTGTAAAGTTATATGTGATCCAATGTAATATAAAGAAGATTATGATGGTAATAAAAAATTTAAGAAAAAAAGAGTGGAAGATATATTTGCATTCCATGTAATGGACAGCGCTGTACTTATATCCGGAACATTTAAATGCCTACAAGTCAATAAGAAACAATCTGATAGAAAAATGTGTAAGAGACGTGAAAAGATATTTCATAAAAGAGAAAATAAAAATGGTTAATAAACATATTAAAACACATTCAACCTCATTAGACATTGGAAAAGAAAATTAAAAATACAAATTACCCTTATGAAGAATCTTGAATTTAAAAACCTGACAAACCACTGCTGATGAGACAGTAAACACGTGTGCCTACTTTGGAAAGTACTTAATAATACCCGCAAAGCTGAACACACATACCCAGCTGTTCCAATCACACATCCAACAGTGTGCTGGACCAAAAAGCATGAAAGAGTCAAAAACTGGCAACAGCCTAAATATATATCATAGTATAAATAAAATGCCATATATCCAGGGCCAGTAGGTGGCATGGTAGCTAAAGGTGCTGGATTTGCACATGGCCAGCCACAGTTTGAGTCCCAGGCCTGGCGACTTGCTCTCTCCCTTTCCCTTTCTCTCTCTGTCTCTCTCTGGTCAAATTAAAATATAGTAATAACAAATGGAATTAAATAAATAAATCATTCTTCCACCCAAAATTGACATATACTCAAACATGGAATGCTATACAGCAATGAACAAGCTAGTAAGCCATAAGCAGGGCATCCATGTGCAGGTATCATTCTATTTCTTGTTCTGGGGTAGGTTACAGCGGTGGATTACCTGTTGAAAATTCACTAAGCCTACCTCTCAGATTACTCCCTCCATGTTTATTATGAGGATGTCAGAAAAGTCATGAACTATTTTTTTTCTGTGCCAAAATGCATCATGACTTTTTAGACAACCCAATATATTCCATCTGTATGAGCCTTTCTGGGCTTTAAAACAGTGAATTTGTTCCCATCTCAGGACCTTTGTGTGCCCCCTGCATGGGACACAAATAAGATTTTGACAGAACTGGCTCCCTTGAAATCTCTAGGTCTCAGTTCTTTTTAGAGAAGCCCTCTGACCACTAAATCCAAATAGCGTTCCCCATCCCCTCATCCCCTCATCCTCTTCCCAGTTCACACTGCATTTACAGCACTTATCACCCCAGAAATGGCCCGGGGGCTGGCTGATGGAGTTAACAAAGCACATCCTGGGTAGCACACAGATAGCACCACTGCAATGCAGGAGCAGCCGTCATGCAGCGCTCTATGAGTTGGGCCCACATGGGAAGGTCTCAGGTTTGCACCCCAAGGTCTCCCTACATACGCAGGTATGCATGTGCCCACAGGCTAGCTGCGAGGTAGGTCATGGGATGAAGACCCTAGTAGGGATGTCCCTCTTTCTGTGTGTCTGTCCTTTTCTATCTCTCTCATGGAAAAAATAAATTAATTAACTTAAAAAAAAAATCTTGTATATAAGTGTATGTATTTATTGACCTCTGTGAGTGAGAGCCTTGGCTGCCATGTTCAGGACTAAGCAAGTTGTCTGACACAGTGTGTGCACACAATAAATATATATGATGAGTGAGTGTTACCAATGCACTAAACGGGTTCTCCCATGGGGTATGACAAGACACAGGTTTGGAAGGGGGAAAGGGGAGAAGAGGAGCAAAGAGGAAGAGAGAATAAGAGTAAAAAGTCAAGCAAATACCACCTCTGGTCCCACTTAAGGCATAAAGCAGGATTAGCTAACAAAGGCTGGAAAAGCCCATGAGCAGCACAGGTATTTTTCTACACAAACTCAATAAGAAACAGTGCAAAATTAAAAAATGCATGGTGACTAAGGCCAAAGAGAAAACAAACAAACAAAAGAAAAACGAAGAAAGAAAAAACCTTCTTGAAGGCAGGTTCTAACCTAAGGATTATAATGGCTTATTCTAATACCATAGCTATACAAATAAATCCTTCCTGTACCTGTTTTCACAGATACTTGGAAATCTATGGCACTGACTCACACTTAAGGAAATTGTCGAAGTATTATAGCTCAAGTATCCATAAATGAAAAAGCAAAAGCCTCCTTTCAACCTACAGTGCCTTCCCTCATAACCCTAATTTCTTCCGTTGTTCTTTTGAGATCTGGCAGGAAGCGGTACAGTAGGGAGGTCGGAAGGAATGTGCAGGCACCAAGAAAGAGGGTTGTGTATCTGACACCCTGAGAAAATGGGGTGACCTCGACCGGGGTACTCTGAACTGCTCCCCCTCACTGCGAGCTGCCCCCAGCAGGGAGCCTGGTGTTGCTCATGAGTACTCAGGAGGTACCTACTGAACGAACCATAGTCCAGGCAGTAACTTCAAGACACTGATTAAATGGCTTGAAGCTGCGGAGTACTTTGTATTGTTCTTTTTTAACATTAAAGTTACTTATTCAGCTCCAGTAAGCAATTAGTGTAACGAGCACCTAGCAGATAAACAGCACAGAATCCATGTTACAGGCACACGAAAGCAAACTAGGGAAACAGAGGACACCCCTGGCTGAAAATCGGACCCAAAATGCAGCTCTAAGAGAACAATTATTTTATTTGTATCTCACAGATAAAAACCTAAAACCTGTTTTATTACTGATCTTGCTTCTTTTTCCTTGCATAGTCATTATGTTTCAAACTCAATCTTTTAAGGGAAAAGTATACTGTTGATCAGCGCTGTTTCTTCTCAGTTATTCCCTCTACGGCTGGCAACTCGTGTAACACCCCAGCAGGCTCAAATCCATCATGTCAGAGGCTAAGAGCTTACAAATGCATCTTTCTATGAAATTCATGATCATCTGTTTCTTACCAACCTAACATGATTTAACCTGGAAAGGAACAATCATGGAGAAAAGAATGCTATTCAAAATAGAGCCAGCCAGCATAAAAAGGAAGAAATGGAAATTTCAACCCAAGATATCACTAATCGAAAACATTTTAGAGCTGGACCTAGGTCGACTAGTGATAATGTCATGACCTCATTTTATTAATAAGTAAATTGAGGGCCAGTAGATGGCATAGCAGTTATGTTGCCGGACTACCATATGGCCGACCATGGCTCAAGTCCTGGACCTGGTGGCTTAAAAATCACACAGAGCACATGTGCGTGTATGCCCAAGATCTTTTTTTTCTTTAATATTTTTCTTGAGAGGTTTTTGCTATAAAGTGCTTGCACTCACTAGAAAGACAAAAAGAGACAGAAAGACAGAAAGCAAGAAATCACGCCCCAGAGGGGTGGCCACATTGCAATCCCTTCTCCTTCGTTCTCCTCTCAGGATCTTGGGCACGCATGCACACACGCCCAGCGTGAGTTTAAGCCACGGAGTCTGAGACTCGAACCGCGGTTGACTACATGGGAGTACAGTGACATAGCTATTACGCTAACTCCTGATCCCTATGCCCAAGATCTTGAGAGGAGAATGAAGAAGAAGGGATGGCAGCGTGGCCATTCCCTCTGGGGGTGATTTCTCACTTTCTCTCTGTCTCTGTCTCTCAGGCAAGCGCACACACCCTAAGGCAAAAACCTCTACATAAATAAGTAAATTCATGATAATACCTAGTGTTTGAAGGAGAGGCCAGGTGGAGGGGCCAGGTGGTACAAAGCAGCAATACAACTGGGCCCCCATGGGAAGATGCTGAGTCTCTGCATGTCCCAGGCCCCCGTGCAGATGTGTGTCTGTGATCCCGGCTGGCTGAGGCTGGGGTGGACTGCAGCATGAGGAGTGCTTGTCTCTCAGAAGAAGTTAATAGATTTTTTTTTTTAATTTTTAATGAAGGGACCAGCAGATGACATATCAGTTACATCACTAGATTCCCACATGGCTGACTGCAGTTCAAGTCCCAGACCTGGGGGTTTGAAAATCATACCAGGCACATGTGCATGCATGCCCAAGATCCTGGGAGGAGAATGGAAGAGAAGAGATTGCAGTGTGATCATCCCCCCAGGGGGTGATTTCTCACGCTCCCTCTCACTGTCTCTCTCTCTCTGTCTCTCTGGCAAGCATATGCACCCTAAGGCACAAACCTCTTTAAAAGAATTTTTTTTAAATAAAAAACAGGTGGATCCAGAAAGGAATGTGTTCTTACACATTAAGTGTCTACACCTCATGGGCTAAGATTGTACGGAAAGTTAATGAATGATTATGTAAATGAATAAATTCATTTAGAAGTACTCTTCTAGAGAGTAGCCATAAAGTGAGTCCGTGGCAGGGTCAGGACTAAAGCCAGCTCTTGTCTTTTTCTTCCTTGGCAGCCTCCTAGGAGCAGCCATAGCTGCAGCTACATCAGCAGTTCAGTTCGGTGTCAGGAGAGCAGCAGTCTCACCAAAATCACGGACTGACCTTCGTTGTGTGTTTTTTCGTTCTGCTTTTAGACATGCAAACAAAAGAAAAGAATGAAAAGTGCCAAGTGGGATGACATAAGAAAATTGCACTGTAGCCAGATCACACATAGAAAATGACAGGAAAAGGGTAGGCAGAGATGGCTGTGATTTTCTTCTCACTCTCACCTGATCTAAGAGACATAAAAGGTACAAAGTTAGACTGCATTAGCTGTCAAATCAACAATATCCTATTAGAGGCACAGACTTCTCTAACAAGGCAGTCATTTTATAACCACGGGCTTGACATGGTCCACAGCCAGGGCCAGAAGAGGTAGAAAGAATCAGGAACAAGGGTGTAACGCGATAATGGTGGCGACATACTTACTCTTCCAGGAAGTGCTGCTGGGGTCCTATGATGGAGCCTGGCCGGCAGATTCTGATCCAAGCGATTATTTCACCATGTGTAAACCTGTAATGTTTCATTACGTAACAGGCTATCAACGTCCCTGTTCTTCCGAGACCAGCTGAAAGAGAAAGGAACAGGACAAGAAATACAAGGTTCAGCAAATGCACCCACAAAAACACTGACATGGAGTCCTGCCCAGAAATGGCACTGGATTCAAGGGTAATGATACGATCACCAGCTAAGAACACATCACTGCTGTCACATAAAATCTGTGTGTCTCCTCGAGTAACGGAAAGGGGAGAATGAAGCTGCAATGTATTTAGATACCAGGAATGGTATGATCAAAGTAAATGGGGAACCAGCAGTTAGCATAATGGCTATGTCGTTGGACTCCCACGTAGTCGACCGCGGTTCGTGTCCCGGACCCGGTGGCTTAAAACTCACGCTGGGCGCGTGTGCGTGCGTGCCCAAGATCCTGAGAGGAGAATGGAGGAGAAGGGATTGCGGCATGACCATCCCCCCTGGGGGGTGATTTCTCACTTTCTGTCTCTATGTCTCTCTCTGTCTGTCTGGCGAGCGCACACGCCCTACAGTGAAAATCTCTCTAAAAAAAAAAGCAAATGGAACTGGCATCAGCACTCCTGCTGGACTGGAAAGGCCAGAGACAGAAGCCAGAGAGTGCAGGCTATGGCAAGAAAGAGGGGAGCTGAAAAGGTCTCAAAGGAGGGTGGGCAACACATACAGGGGAAACGGTAAAACAGAAACACCTTCCGACTGGGTCACAAGGAAAATTAGAGAACTGATGTTTCTGGCGTAGGAAACTGACAGAATGTCAAAAAAATTTTTGAGAGGTTTTTGCTATAGGATGTGTGCTCGCTAGAAAGACAGAGAGAGGTAGAGAGACAGAAAGCGAGAAATTACTCCCCAGAGGGTATGGCCACTCCACAATCCCTTCTCCTCCACAGAATGTCCATTTCATCAATGCAAACAGAAATATAAATAAAGGGTGGTTGTTGGCTTTATTTTTTATATATTCAAGAATCTTCTATTTTTGAGGGATTCCTTAGTCAGTTTTCCCTGGTGAAATAATGAAGAGAATCTTCTCTGATCTACCTAATACTTTAAATATATATATATACACACACACACACACACACACACATATATATATATATAGTATTAAAAAATCCAAGACACTGTCATATTGTTTAATGAAACAATACACACCATTATTCACATCCTACTAAATAAGATAAAACAAAACAATGACAAGTTATCCATGTTAACATCCATCCTCATTTCAGACATCTTAACATATGAAAAAGGTATGTCTTCAAATCACCGCTGCTCAATCTTCTTTATATTATTGCTTCCCAGGAACCTCATTTAATTTTTTTTTCCTAATCGTTCCCCATAAAATTTTATTGCCACAGACATACAAATCGATTGACATATTATACGTAACCTCTACTTTATAAAGAAAATAAAAGGCTATTCACCTTCGAAAAACAACTTTTTTCCCTTCAGAGCATCACTGCTTATGTTCAGAATACATGTCAAAATGCAAATGAAATAACCATCAAACTCACGTCAAGAGATTCCCGGCAT